GCTGAACCTTTCTTCAGTCCTCTGCTTCTCCATCACTGACAACTGCAGATGATTTAGGAGAGGATTTCCGTCCCTGAGTGCATTTTGACTATCGCTTTCAATTTCACCGTCGCCTTACCTCAGAGGGGTACTGCCCACCATTCCTGGCCTCTCAGCAGTCCAGGGAAGGCAACAAAGGCTGAGGCTGTTTCAGCTGCTTGGAGAAACTGCTGTCAGCAGAGCTGGAGTGATGCTGTAACCATGTAATTGGGAATACAGAGAACCCACACATAGCTCCACTGTCCCCAGAGTACTCGGCAGTTTGCTCATTCAGTAAAAAGTGGAAAGTAATTCCCAGCAAAACAAGGAGGGAGGGATACCTGGCTCCTGTCTCCCCTTTGGCCCTCACCATAGGAGGTGCGTGAGGACGAAAAGGAAAGAACAGGGAGAGCAGTTTAGACACTCAACACATCTTTCAGCCTATGTATTACACAATCCTAGGCCAGGGAGTAGATTGTGTCCCCTCAGTTCATCCACCTGCAGAGATAATTTCTTTGTTTTGTTCTTTAGACTATCCCTATATTCTTCTTTCCTCACCTTGCTGTTCTCCTTTACTGTCTCCAAACTGCAGAAAATGAAAGACCATTAATTCTGTCACCATCTGATCTTACATACCCACCAGCGTGGGTGGTGAGAAGCAGTTAGCCGCCCAGAAGGGCACTTCAGACCAGGATAGATTTGTTTTCAAAGGGGTGCAGCACGACCTCAGGCATGCATGCATGGTCATGGTTTGTCATTGTCCATCGCTGGAGAAGGGAGACAATCTGTTACCTCTAACAGTGCTAAGAAGTGCTGCTGTACCACATTCCAAGAGCTTCTCTATATAAACAGGACTGTGAGTTAGTACTTGAAAGCCTTATTTACATCGGTCCTTCCTCCTTCAATTCTGCTTAATTTTAAAAGGAACTCTTCTATTTTAAAGAGGTACTTTTGTGCCATAAATTTATAAATACATATGCAGAATCTATAGGATGCTTAGACAAAAGCACTGTCAAGCAGGTGAGCCAAAATACACTCACGGGGAAGTCCACAGCATTCAAAAACAGAACAGGGGAGTTCTGTTCAGGAAGGCCACTAGCAGCAAAAGTCAACCTCGAAGAGAGGCTGCTACTACCCAATTCACAGTTAAACTGCCACCCACACTCTGAAGTCAGGCTTGGCTCGGGGTTCTGTCACTAGCAAGAAGCCAGAAGCATTAACTGTTGTGAAAACTGAGGAAAGCCTTATTATCTGTGATGGCTTGGGAGGAGGACAGAAACTCCCCCCCAAACAGTGATTTTAGCAGACTAAAGATTTTTTTTTAATCTTTGCCTGTGTTGCCATCGTGAAAATGAAGTACTTAAAATTATTACAGATTAGTCAAAACAGGATACTTGAAGAGATGTCTCAATGTTAAATGTTTTTAGCATATTTTAAAGTACACAGGTTTTTTCAGTGTAGTTTGTAAGAACTCCCATCCATGTGATTTGAGGTCAAGGGACAGAATCAGATTTGTCCTAGCCTAACCCCAGTTTTTCTGTATTTCCTCTCTTTACTGAGGTAATGATGATTATCCTTCAGTAAGTACATATGCATTTATGTACAACAGCCCAGATAATACATTAAGATAATACTTTACCTAAGCAATATGTTAAATGGAAAAGCCCCCCCCAAAAGGCAATTAAATTTTTCAGACACTGTCCCTTTTTCTAGATTTAGAACAATACCAAGTACACCTACTCCAACAACAAGGCGGTGGGGGGCGGGGAGAATAATTGACCCACATTTGATGTAGTTATGAAGTCCATCATTTGCCAGGGATGGGTAAATACTATCCAAAGCAGAGCAGGGAAGTACCAAGTACATCCAGACAGAAGCACAGCAGCATATGAGAAAGACAACTACTTTAGCAGATAGCTGATACTGACCTTAAAAATCCTCCCAAGCCTGTTCCAACATTGGAAGCATTTCATAAACAAACCCCACCAAAACCAGACTGCTGTCATTTGGGCCCTTTGCCAACAGTGAGTTTACTTGCACAGTGCTCCTGTGATACATGGTGACTACATAGGTTTACCGAAACACAATTGTTAAGTACTGTCCAGTGTTCAGCGAGAAAAATCTGGGAGCAGAATCTAGATATTAATCCACTGCCTTAACCGTTATAAAAGCCTTTCTTCCTTAACAAAGGCTGTTACATTTATTTTCTGTTTTATGGTGTTAAAACTTAGAATTTCCTATTTATTTTATATCCACGGTACAGCATACTCGATATAGTCTTGTACTTTCAAGATTTTTTTTTAAATAAAAGTATTTTTCAACTATGTGGTTCTCCTCACTTACGCATTTACTCTCTTCAGAACAGCAGGAGATATGACAAGAAGGAGCCAAGCAAATGGGTGTGTTTACGTCCTGAGGTTTTCTCCCTTGTTATAGATTTAAGGACCGGTAACTGCAGTAGCTGTAGTTGCTCCAAAACGGCGTGTCCCCTTGAGCTCGAATGCATCTCCCTGAAGGACCCTGCCATCCCCATTCTCTGCTCAGGACAGATCCAAACCACCACAAAGCCAAGTTGGTCAGGCGACAAGCGAGGACTGGCAGCTACACATATGCAAACAACAAAACAAAACTAAAATCTCTCCCTGTCATCACTTTTGCATGCATACAAGTTAAGCAGTTGACATAGTAAAAATTGAATTGTCCTACACCTAAGTTAAAATAAATTCCAGACAAATGTGCCACTGCATAGGGCAGGTGTAGTAGTGCAAATATATTTAGTTAATCAGAAACAGAAATGGGAAGTACTTCCACATGAGCTGACAACCTGCACTGAGCAGCCTCTATCTCAAAACTGCTAGGTGACAAACTCGATCCAATTTTGACTTTCACTCATGATGTCCTGCACGCTTCCACATCAACCTGTTTATGGTGCACGTTGGTGTGCATCCCGTACATTCTCCCCACCCCACAGAAGGGAATTTGTGCCTACACTCAGATTTTATCATGAAACAGATTTTGACACTCTGCAAGAGTAGTACCTGTGCTCTAGGCTCACTATCCTCCAGGCACTCTCCTCCAGTGAGCCTAGCAAAAGGTCATTTTCGTTGAATTACTTTCAGTTCAGGTGATTATGTTCACTGCTGGCACCGTAACAGGAGCAAATGTAATAAAAGTTCAGATTGATACTATTAAATACATTATGGATCTTTTATATATCTTACCACAGTTTTTACAGTTTCACAAATATCAAAACCCAGGTGTACATGTCCATTTTGCAACACAGAATGACTATACAATTCCAAAAAGAGCAGGCATTTCAAATACACAATTCTGAAGTGTAAACACAGCGTACAAGCTCTTCACCTCACAATCCAGGTGCTATGCAGTAGCAGCCGAGGTAACACCATACAGCATGAACTCAGCAAATGGTTGGTTTGCTTCAAGATGATTTTTAGCATCCTTCTTGTCCTGTCACCTGTTCAGTCTTTAGTTCTCCCCCAAGCTATACAAACATACAATAAATACATTTCTGATTTTAAAGGACACTTAGACAAGTCATGAGGATTTACGTGAGTACAGTACATTTAAGTTCAAGTGCAAAAAAAGTAACTAGTGGCTAGTCATCGATGTTTCTTTTTATTGTCTATGGTGTTGGTCCCAGGCACCACCAGAACACGGGTTGTTCTTAAAGCACAGCTAAAGCGCAGCTACGGGACACCCTTTCAGTCAAGCTAACTGGATGTCAAAGCAGGTAAAACCGCGCAC